GTGATGACTAGCTGCCTTCTCTCTAGTCTTACACTGCTAAATTAGGGACGGCTAGTGCAGATAGCCCTCGTGTAGCTTTGCGCGAAATTCAAAACAAACAAACAATAATGAATATAGAATCTGTTAATGAAGATTTTGTTTATTTGTTCACTTGTATTTGGTTGTTTTTCTATTCTGTCTTGTGTTCATTTTATTTTCTGCATAATATTTTTGAAATATGCTGTATTACGGATACTTGATAATTTTCTACTGGAAATCATTGTATCAGAATATGAGATATATATATGTCTGCGTGTTTTTATTAAGTACTCACTTGATGAACTATTTATTTTATAACTGATTAAATTTGTATACAGATATAATTTTGATTTATAAGTTTCCATTGAAATAGCTAACTGGATAAAGGAAAATGGAAAATATCAATTATGTGGAAACAGCTCTGGAGCAAAGTAAGTGAAGGAATTTACAACTTGCATTTTCAGAGAATCAACCATAAATTTGTGTTAAAATAATCTTTCAATGTATGGTAGTAGTTTAGAAATTTAACACATGTTATCCATAAGTTACTCAAAGATGATTTACTTTCAAATGTGTAATCAGTCATTTTCTCTAGACTGCTTCATTCTTAAAGCCAAAGTATGCACCATATTTATTTGATGTGGAGGTTTTCTTCAGTATTTATTCAACTTGAGTTCATTGGTATAACTAACTAGTGGAAGAATAATAATGAAATTTATACATTTAAAATTAATGTAGGTGAAAGCATTAAATATTAGAAACATGGTTAAAATGTTAACCACAGTTCTCTCGTTAGCTTCTGGAAAAAACCTAAAATAATATGTTTTCAAATACTTAAGGTAGTTTTTTAGACATTTTGCAGCATTTATTTTTCTAATTTTGATTTTATTAGCCCAGAAGGAAGAATGACAAGACCAATGTCTGTGTCATAGTTAGTACTTAAGAAGTATCCCGATGAAATCCATAAAAATGTTTTTTTGATACCAATATCAGATCTATGAGTCAAAAGAAACCAAATGACAGATATTTATGTTTTGTTTGCAGAGAATAATCGTTGTATATGTGGTATATAAACATAGTATGCTATTTCTACATTCTGATATTAATATAATAATATTCTAAATTAATCAGTTATTCTGAGTATATGCAGTTTTTATGTGGTCAAGAAAGTCATTTAGATAATTTTATTCTAGCTGCCTTTGCTCCTTTATTATTTTTTGGAGACACCACCTGTTTTACCCTAGGGTGGTACGAATGTCATTCTGCACGTAGTGCAAGGATATTGATTGCAGTTTTCTCCACTGGTTGGTTAGGTGATGTCCAAGAAGTCTCAAGGGAGAGATTCTTGCCATGTCTGTGGTTTCCTGTGAGTGGAAAAAACAGATTATTTCCCTGACATTCAAGGGTGTAGCAATTTCCTAGAGGATTTCAGACAGGTAACTGCTGGGAATCGCTCATCTCCACAGCAGGCTATACAATGCATGATCTGAGTCTAGATGGTCTGGACCTAGATTCCATTGAACACTTGAACGATACACAACTATGAAGCTGCAAGACAGTCACTGCCAACTTGTGCCAAAAGTTAAACTTAGTGGAAAATCAGTCAATCTGTTGGGCTAAGCTAAAGGCTCAGAAGAGAGGTACCTTGGAGGGCTTGGCTTTCTACACAAATGATCTACCCCATTTGCAGGATAAGGCTTACCTTGTGACCAAGCAAGAAGTCTGAAGTTTTCTAGGTTTCATTTCATATTGTCAATGCCTTGTGGCCAATTCTTCATAATACCATTATCAGCTCTCACGAAAGTTGAGACACTTCAGATGGAGTGTGGAATGTGAGAAAGCATTTTAGTCCCTGAAGTATTCTTCAGTAGATGCCCTTGTGTTGGTGTATCCATGACAAGACTGATTTATTGTTGGATACAAGTGATAGTGAAATTGGAGCATTGTTACTGCAGTTGCAAGATGGAGTATATTGTGTATTTGTGTTTGCTAATCACATGCTCATGAACCTTGAATACTGTACAACAAATAAAGAACTGCTTGCAGTTGTGGGTTTCACAATACCTTTTTGATAGAAAGTTCACTGTTTGAATGGACAATGCATTGATGAAGTGGTTGATGAACTTTTAAAACCCAGAATAGATTCTAACACACTGGATAACAATACTGCAGGAGAATGATATAGGCATGTAATATTGCCCTGGCCCAGAATATGGAAACACAGATGAATTCTTTCACTGCATATTCAAACCCTGTCCATTCATTGAATGTCCTGGCATGTGGGAGTTTAAACCATTTCTGTCACAGCAATGACAAGCCATGCAGTAAGAGATTCCATCAGTGGATGGGTGTCACATTGCAATCATTGCTTTAGAAGCTCTGGGAAAAGCAAATAGAAGGACCCAAATCTAGCATGGTTGCTTCTTGCTGTTCAGAAACTTAAAATGTGACCAGCTAAGATAGAGGAATTTGCCATAGTTGCATGTAATATATGGCTTTTGTACAAGTGGAAAAAGATGTACCATTATTAATAACTCTCAAGCCATAGTTTGCATCCTGTGTTAAAGCTAATGTTCCTCAGTGCATTTCCAGGCTTTGAATATCACTAAGACTAGAAGATATCAAGGTGTGATAATGTTTGATAGCCATTCTATTAACCACATTTGAGCCTAGATATCCAGTGTTGGTTTCAACACTGTGAGGTATTTCCCTGAACAGGATAAACTCCAACAGAGAATCGTCCTGGATATTGCTCATCCACTCTCAAAGATGAAATGAGGGCACTTATATATACTTGTGGCCATCAATTAATTCACAAAGTGGGCCACAGCTTATTCATTGGTGAATATGTCAACACATTTGGTGGTGGTTGATGCATTGGAAGAGCACTGGATAGCTTGGTTCAGATTACCTGAAGAGATCTATATGGATGAGGGAGCTAACTTTAACAACCAGCAGTTCTCTTAGTAGTGTAAAGTGCTGGGTGTGATGAAGACATGCACTTCACCATATCAAAACCAATTTGATGGTTTAGTAGAGCAGGTAATACCTACTGTGAAGAGTATGTTTCCTAAGTCTGTTAATCTCAAACAAACCAATTGGAACAAGCACATACTATATGTCATGATTGCCTATTGTGCAAATGAGCAAAGCGTAATAGGTTGTGTTCTGAACATGTACATTTTTGGGCAGGAAATTTTACTTCCTGTAAACATGTTGCATGGTCTTTTCTTAGAACAAATACCCCACAATGTCTACAAGAATATGTGGCACGGTTAAGGTCTGCAGTAGTTGATATGCTCAAATTTGTGTGTCAATAGCTAGGAAAGACCACAGTATGAAAGAAGAGGTGCTTTCAAAATGAATGTACCAGAGTGGAGAATGAGTGTGGCTTTGGTACATGCCAGTAGCAGGGAGTCATTTGGCTCTGTTTTTATAGGATCTCTTCTTGTGCCCAAAGGAGTCAGTCTATTAACATATGAATTACAGCAGTTAAGAGAAACACAAAAGAACATAGTGCACTTCAATCAGCTGTGTCTGTATGTAACTGACAAACCTCTAGTGAACTAGCTTAATCAGGAATCACGGGAGAATACCAGTAAAAAAAGCACACAAGAATGCTGTTTTATCCCACTGTGATCCAAAAGATGAGGGGGAACATAGGTGAGAGTACTTATTTGACCATTAAGGATGACATACAGGAGGAAGTGCCAGCTCTTTGTTAAAGGAATGTAATCATATACTGCATAATTATGCCAAATGTATTCTGTGTTAAAGGATTATATCTTATGCTTGTGCTGGTTTACTGTCAGAGAGTTTTATTTTGTCCCTGAAGTTTTTGTAGTCACTTTGAAAGAGTTATTTTCAATGTTTCTTTTACATTGTAGATATTTCGATTGGATCCTGTATTTATATATATATATATATATATTGGGGTCCTTTATGTATATGTGTTTATAGTTTGTAAGCCATTTTCTTATACTATTAATTTTAGTATATTTTATTTTCTTCATTGTTAAAGGGTTGTTTTATGCTGCTTCCTTTTGGTTTATTTCATATTCAAAGCTATTTTTATGAAGAAGTTATGCTCTGCATTGATTATTAGTCATTAATAAAGGGTATGTTTCATTTTGTATTTTAGAGTAACTTTTAAAACGTGAATTTGGTTTGTAAATGGTTAAATTTATTTTGAAAAGGTTTTTATTTTTCATTGTTTGTGATAGCGATAAAGGGCCTGTTTCTTGTGTTTAAATTATGTTGTATTAGGGGTTTATTTTGCATTTATTTGTTTGATATAGTTATCAATCAGTTGGTCAGTGTTAAAGCTGTTTTGCTGCAATATGATAAAAGACTATTGTATCACTGTTAAAGAGAATATTTCAATTGGGATTATGTATTACACATATTTGTTAGAAAGAGGGTTGTGTTGTATGTAAGTGTTTACAGGAATGAGAGAAGGTTACCATACTCCTCAGCCGGTGCTTGTGTATAGATTTTATTGGTTTTAATTGTTGGCTTGACAACAAATCTGATGTCAGGGAAAGAGGAAAAGTGTGGTACATAAACATACCTTGCATTTTCTACCTTCTTGTATTAATATAATATCATTCTAAATTTATCAGTTATTTGAGTATATGCAGTTTTCACAAAACAAGTGGTTGAGAAAGTTGTTAGGTTGATTTCGTTCTAGCTGCCTTTTTTCCTACATTTTTCTCTGGAGACAATACCTATTCTACCCATTGGATGCATGGGTGTAATGGTGTATATTGTGCAAGAATGTCAACAGGAGTTTTATCCATTGGTCAGTAATGTGGTATCTCAAGGTTATGGTCTCTATTATTTCTGTGGTATTGACCAAAAGTGACATAGATGGCATTCATATTTTTCGAGGGACAGTATTATAGAATTTGGCATATAGTACTATGATTTCTTAGTTAGTTCCCTCTCTTTTAAGCTCAAGCCTTCAGTTTGGTAAGTGAAGTTTAACTTCTTTCTGTAACTAGTAATACTCTCCTAAGTTTAACCTGTAACACTTACTAGTCCTTAATAAACATCTTTATAAGTTAAGATTAAAATAACACGTGTAAATTTTCAGTAACACAGATGTAGATGTATTAAAGAAAAACCAGCCTTTAAGTATTTATTATGCACTATTTAACATTAGTTTTTATTTAATACATCTATGTTATCTTTACAAGCTGTTAGAAAGGTCTAGAGAGCTAGCTATCTAGTAAGGGCACTATTCTACATCCTTTGCACTTATTTAACTTTGATTGTTTTTTAGTGTAAAGAAAGATTCTTTTCATTATGTGTTTTACATTGTGTCCAGTCTGTTTCTTTCTCAAACTCAGTCAAGGTCAATGAACTTAAAATCATTTCATCTCTTGTTGAATCTCCTTTTATTCTGAGGGCATATCCCATAACTCTAAGGGAAATCAGTTTGACCTGAATATACTAGAACATATGCAAGAAAGAATATTATAAAAAGTCATTTTTAGCATGTTTGACCAGTATAGTTATATATGATTCTATTTGAATATTTGACTTTTAAGCTTTATTTATGAAAAAAAAAAAAAATCTACTACTGACAAAAAAGTAAAAATAAACAGGCCGGAATTTCCTCATCATTTACAAAAATACCGAATCTACAGTTTTCAGTGTTTTAAAAAGTTATCAACAGAAAAATATATTCTTAACTAGTCCAAATTCACCTCTTATATGATATTCACAGTAGTATATAACTTTACCTCATTATACTTGCATAGTTTTTTTACCTTTGACCCCCATATTTTAGCACCTTCTCAACTTGTATTACTTAGATGATGATGATGAAGTACTGTATGAAGGCGATTTTCTGTTAATAACTAGTTTGAACACTCAAAGCTATGAATTTGGCATTATGGTAAATGATGATGAAATCCTTACATTTTCTTTATTTGTACATTTTCAGTAGTATATTCCATTTTATGTTTAATTTTACTAACAAATAATACTGTAAAAAGTCGCAATGTTCAAAATGGAATCATAAGCTACATGAAATTCTCTTATAGTTAGAGTGGACAAACATGTTAAAATGACTTTTTTTTGATAATCATCATATTTGTATATGCAAGAGTTTTTTTTGTACCCTCTTTGAACAAAATATAGGCATCGACCATTCTGTTTCTTTTGACTCTGTTGAATTGAAATTGGTGTGAAAAAATTATATTTTCTCTATGTATTTGAATGAGATACTAACTACATGTATAGTAATTGATATTGACTTTTGGACACTGATCTTTCCAGTCCTTTATTAGAACAAATGAAATGCATGAATGAATGAAATGAGCAAGTGTGAGGTTTTTAGTGAAAATAAGAACTGTTCTAAGATCAGTGATTGAAATTTTTAAAATTGTTAAAGATTTGGATATTCTATAAGTGGCTGGACATGAAAAGTATTTCATATTTTGATAGAGTTAGCAGAAGTGGCTTGTATATTTTAAACTTTGAAAGATAAGGTACAAGTCTGTTCTTAAGTTTTGATAAAAATTCTTATGCTCTTGTTAGCAGAATAAGGAACATTAAGAGAAATATCAAGTCTCTATATGATACCAGGAGAATGTTTTTACATTAGAAATATTTTTAGAACCTTTTTATGAGTGCTATGAGAAAGAATTTTTAACCTTGGTAATTTTTCTATAAAAAAAAGAAAGGCAAAACTCAGACATAATTAATGTGGATAATAAATAATGCTGTTTTTTTAGGGGGAGGGATTGAAAAATTCAATAGTGTAAATCTTTTGATGAAATTTTTCCTAAAAATTTTAAATATTTATTAAAAACTGTTGAGGGGCTTCACTATTTTCAAAAAGTTTCTGGAATATGTAGAAATTTGTAGTAATTGGAATACTGGAAATGTTATTTTGGTTTATAAAAAGTTAACAAAGAAATAATGGGCTTTTCTGTGTAACTTTTGTTGTTATTGGCCTACTGAAAGGAACTGCTAGTAATCATTAATAAATTTGTTTTGAAAAGTGGAATTCCTTAAGTAGCACTTAGTATATTTCAAAAAGGTTATGTTTTGTTTCATGAACTTGTTATGAATTTATTTTTATTTTTTATTTTTCTTATACTTTTAGCATTACAATAGTAACAATTAAGCCTATCCTTATAACAACTTCTATACTCATTTGCTATGCTAAACTTTTCTCTGCTTCTTATTCTTTTTGCATTTAGTTTTTCTGGCCCTCACCACTGTCTAGTCGTAGTTTAAAACTTTCCTTATAGCTGAGTAAATAGCCTTAGCAAACAAGCCAGCCTCTACCCTATTTAAGTGTAAACCATCCATTCCAAAAAAGCTCCCTTCTTCCACTGAACTGATCCCACAAGTCCAACCAGACAATCTGCTCATCCTTAGATGCTAACCTAAGCCTAGCATTTAGCCCTAGTGACCTATTTATAACTTCATCTGCACAGTTTATTCTGGGCAGTATCCCTGACAAAATTACATTATGGCCTGTTTCTTTAAATGCCATTATTAACCCTTTACTTATTAATTAGCTCCTCTGACCTACCTTTCCCTACATCATTAGCCCCTACAAGCACCACAAAAACTGCATCTCTGCTAGCCCTCATTTTTATATCTCCTGCTCTGTCAGTTATATCCTCCACCTGCTACTCTGGTTAGCATAATCTGAATCTTTTCTTCCACAGACTATTCTATCCACATGCCTTGTCAATGAATCACCTATAACTATAACCACCTTATCATCCACATCTTTCTCTGACCCTTTTGTTTTCCTTCCCTCATCTGTCAAGGCTTCTGTAACTTAAGATATATCTGTTTTGTGAGAAGCATATTGATGTTTCGGAGGGAGTAAAAAGAATCTGAGTATGATTGTTAAGAAAAAGCATGAAACCAACCAAGTATATAATATTTTTTCATTTTAGAATTTGTCCTAAAGGGTCTGTATGCCTGCAGGGTTATGGTGACAATCCTAATTATGGTTATACCAGTTTTGACACATTTCCGTGGGCACTTCTATCTGCATTCAGGTTAATGACTCAGGACTATTGGGAATCTCTTTATCAAATGGTAAGAGCTATTTATAGTGTAGTGCAAACATAATTTTGTCTTGTATCGTTCAGTTTCAACTTGAAGCTCTAATGTTTATTAAGCAGAAGCTGAACACGTGTTTCATCATTGTTTACCCCATAATTATTCTACACAACACCAATATATTGGCATATTGTCGTGATTCATGTCGGTACGTAATACTTTGGTATCAACCATACAATAAGAGATGGGCTAATTGAGAAAAAATAGTTAAGAGACTTAAGTTATGGTAAACTAAACTAATCCAGAGATTCAGGGTTTTGAGCATCACCACAAATAAAATGGAAGTTTTTAACTATCTATTGGTTTTTCCAATGATGAGATGGAGAAAAATTATTGTTCAGGGAAGTTAAGCCTCAATTACCTTTCCTATTTTCCAAATTAAGCAAAACATGTTACCTGGGGTTTCTGCTGCTAATTGTGGAACTCTTCAGAGTAACATTTAACAGTCATCTTACCCATAGGTAGCTGTATTCCAGTGTTTCAATTTATGGGGCCTTGCTGTGCTGAACCAAGATATTTAAACATGCATCATAAATGGATATATAGATGTATATAAGTCTTATTTAGTTCTAGAAATAGAAGATTGTTTTATTAATATATAAAGTTTTGAAATAAAATAAAAAAAATAGTAAAAGAGGGTAAATAAACAAAAATTCATTTATTGGAATGATTTTTGTTAATTTACAGAAAACTTTTCAGAGATTTTACTATAATATATTTTGTATTATTTACATATTTTTTTAATTATCAAATAAGCACAGTGTCATAATTATGGTGATAATGTTTAAAAGTTAAAATGTTTGATAAACATTAACCTGACTACAAAAAAATCTGCTAATCAGAATTCATAAAACATTTTGTATTAGGTTAAAAAATATGTACAAATAGCTTGAAACTATGTTTCATTTCTTAGAGAACCACAGTCATATTTTTAAGTTTGTCTACAGTCACTTAAAGTTGTCAGTTTTTTCTTAAATGATTTCCTTTTTTCTAATCTAACCCTCTGCTGTTTTCTGATTTTGTTTAACATATGTTCATTTTTCCAGTTGCTGCAAATATTTTACCCTATGAATTATCAAAAGCAAGTTGGCTTTAAAATACAAGTATCTTGTGTTACTTTAAAAGAGGCTGCTGTAGGAACTATATAAACAGCTTTAATCATGCTAGAAAGATGATACTAATATTATGGTGAAAAGTAAAACTCTTAAGTTTGTTGCACTTGGTAAAATAATGTACCAAATCTATGAAATGAAAAATTAATTTTTCACTAACTTAAGTTATAACATTTTGGACAACCCCTATAGTTTTGAGGCGAGTTTGCTATAGTAATAATTAGAAATACATTTCTTTTGTTAAATTTGTTCTGAGCTACTTAGGTATCCTTTCATAACTTTTGTACAGAAGTCTTTTTGTTTTTCTAAATATTGATTGCATCACTTTCTTATATTCAATTTTAAGTATTTTGGTATATGATCCTTTGAATATTATACTGTAAAAAAGGCTTTAATATCAGTACTCCATTCAGCAACATGTTTTTCTGAGATCAAAATAAAGAAAATGATGTAATTCAATATATGTCTTTTTTTGTTTTTTTACCAGGTGCTAAAATCTGCTGGTCCGTGGCATATGCTCTTCTTTGTCTTGATCATCTTTCTGGGGTCTTATTATCTGGTCAACTTGATCTTGGCTATTGTGGCTATGTCATATGATGGGTTACAAAAAGAGGCTGCGAAAGAAGAAGAAGATGCTGCTGCAGAAGAGGCAGAATATGCTGCTAAACAGGCTGCAAAATTGGTATAATCATCATGTTTTTGTAGTCTTTTCTTATAGTACTGGATGATTTAATTTTGAATCCTAATTGAGGTGAATAATTATAATGACATGAATGTGATTACAAACAATAAAGTGTGATTTTCTGTTTGTTTCTTTCTGTCTTGAGGTTAACTGAAGTCTGTAACATACAGTAAACAAACAACATTGTACTAGAATTTATTAGAAATGTAGCTCATGTGATTTCCATAATATATATATATATATATATATTA